GGTCGCGCAGCCGCGGGCCAGCCCGGCGGGGCGCGGTCAGCGGAGCAGCCCCGGGCTCGCGCACACCCGGGGGTCTTGCCAGGTTGCCCGTGGGCTTGCAAATCGGGGCCTGCGCCTGGAGCCCCGAGCCCCGAGCCCCGAGGTGCTCCCCTCTAGGGAGAATGTTCCAGGCGTTTGTGAAGCAAATGACACAGTGCATGAAAAGAAAAAAGAATCGAGCCAGGCTGAATGCTTCGGTGCGAGACCTCGAGGGCCGGCTCAGCGAGCGGGGACGACGCAGCCCCCGCGGAGCCGGCATGCCTGCCTGCCTGGCCGCCCGCAGACCCCGCGCTCGGGGTCGCCGCCCACCCGCCCAGCCCGCGGCTCCTGCAGACACGACCAAAGCAGGGCCCGCCTTAGCGCGGAAGGAGGTGCGCGCAGCACTGGGTGGGCGCCCGGGGGAGTATTTGTCCAGGGGGGAGAACTGAGACCTGATATCGAGGCTGATCGCCCCAGCTCTGACCCTCGTCACACGGCCAAGCCCCCTCCTGCCCTCTTCAGGGAACTGGTCTTGGTAAATAACAACTGAGCTGATTTTCTGTACAAACGTCAAATCATGAGATTAGAGCCATGGTCCCCATTCTGCTTTATTCTCTCGAGTGCTCGCCCCCTTGCAAAGCAGGGCCTTGTTTACTTCTGGCTAGAATGTGGTCTTCCTCCTACGCAGGGCTGCGTTTAGTCATCTCTGTACCTACTGCCATCTCTTCCGGCTTGCAACAGGCTCTGGATAAATATCTTTTAAATATGTGCTCGAATGAATTAGAGACCCGAGATGTAATCCCCAAACCGTTTTACTTCATTCCAGTGACTCAGCCTTCTTAGCCTTTATCTGTTAAGAGAGAAAGAATGAATATGAATATATATATATATATATATATATATATATATCTCATAATCCTTATAGTCCGTACCCCGTCTACCTCGCTGGGGTTATTGTGAAAATCAAATAAGATATGTGACAACACTTTGTAAACTATCAGGTGCTGAACAAATATTATATAGGATGGTTATTCATTCATTCCCTCCATGCAGGAAGCTTAACAAAGTAATTCCTAGTATTGTGTTTCAGCAAATGGTGATCCCCTTTCCTGGTCAGTCTTAAATATTTACTGTAGAACAGTCTCCTTGTTCTTACATTTAGGAAATCAATCAGGCTTCTGTTTCTTTCAGGGAAAAGAACAGTGTTTGCACACATAAATAATGACAGAAAAATCTTTGTATTCCCCAAACAGCCACCTTAAGCAACCCAAAAGAGCCCAAAAGCAGGGAGATGGTGAAGAACTCAGGAGATAGGTGTAGCACCCCCAGGGCAGCACCCTGCAGCCCCACCGTATTCCAGCATGGGCCTGTGTGTGTGTGCAACGGTGTTAAGCGGGAAAAGAGTGCCCCTGGGAAGGCATGGCCATTGTCAGTGGTCATGTCCATGTACACCCTGACCCATGCTGGAAGGGAGCTGGAGAAGGATGTAAATCATTATATTCCAATGTTCCTTGGCTGTTTTATTTTCCTGTCAAGTGGCTTAAGCTTGATTAAAAAAAAAAAACTCTCATGGCCAAGTATGTGTTTCCTTAGAATTGAAATCTAGGTTGATGGTTTTATATTTTAAAAGCTTTCATGGTGAGTCACTCTTGGCCTAGGATGAGATTCTGTAATACTCCCCAAGCTTACAGGGCCTTGGTGTCCTGTTTCTTGGGCTTTGTAACCACTTTCTAACATTTGCAAATGGATCCAAGAAGTCAGTTTGGGGGGAAAATGTTTCACTGTCTGCTTGTCACCCTGATCAGTGGAAAGGGAACCATAAACATGGACTTTCCCCATGAAGCCGGAGCACAACAGGGGCAGTTTTCAAGTGCTAACAGGCTAGCGGCTAGACAAAAGTCAGGCAGCAGTGGAGACTTTGGCGAAGGTGAGTTTTAAGTGAGATAGGTCTAGAGAAGCCCTCACAGGGGCTCAGCCGCGGCGAGTGCTCTATATGTGGGCAATAAGATTTATGACAGCAGCATCTGGCTGTCGGAAAACTCACATGGGCTCTCCTCTTCCTGGAAGGCATCACGGGCTCCGGAAAGGAGTGCATGGCTGTGGGAACCCAACACTATCCAAGCACATTGTCGAGATTCTTGTTCAGTGGCTTGGGATTCCAGATGTGCCTGCAACCTACTGCCATGTGGAAGAGGAGCTCAGACAATCCCCAACGGACACCTTTTAACTTTGGCCTTTCTAGTGCATATAGAAAGACATAAGGTCATTCTTTTATCAAGACAAGCTGCAAAAGCCTAAGAAATGTCTCATTTGCACAGATCTGACAAAACAGGCAGGTTCAGGAAGCAGGAGCTTTGTATCCTGTTTACCCAAATAATTCCTCAAAACCTTGAGGTTTTCCAAGCCCAGAAAACTCCTATCACTGTCTTCAGCTGTGATGCCTCTCCCAAGCAGAGACTAGGAAGAGGGATCAGTTTTGTTTTGTCCAAACCACATTTGCTTTTTAGCCCAGACAATTCAATTCCATGCACATTTCTGAAAATCTCCCACTGGCTGAGCCTAGCTCTTGCTGAAACGGAGGAAACAGACCCAAACTCTTGCCCTCAGCTAATTTGCATCTCCACTGCCTCTGCCCAAATTCTGGTTCTCATCACACACGCTTTTCCGATAGCCTCCTAACAACCACCCATCTCTTCCCCTTCATCCGTCCCCTACCCCGCAGCCGCAGTGACCTTTCCAACGAACAAATCGGATCATGTCACTGCCTGATCGAGGCCCTGAAACAACTCCCTCTGGCCACAGCAGACCGTCTCAGAAGATGCGCAGCAGAAAGCAGGTGCTCTCAAAGCTGCACCACGCTGGGCTGCGGCTAATATTAACTAATGACGCGGTCTTCTCCCGGTTGGCAGAAAAAAAATTAAGCTAATTGATAGAATAGTCTCCGTCTTAAGTGTTTCTCTCCTCACTTTCTCTTAAACCATCAGTCCCTGCTACTGTGGCGCCATATTAGAATATAATATAGAACTAAGTCTGATTTATCCCAGAAGCACACGTGGCATCAGTGTTTTTCCATGTACCCATCCTTCCTGGCGTTCTGCTCGCAGGTGTTCTGTTCTCTCCCCGGGCAGTGTCCCGCCCTCTCTGACTTTGGCCTGGCATCCAGAGCCTTCCCTAATTCTTTCCTCTCCAGGACCCATGACTTGGCTTTTCTCCACAATGGTGGACCCTTCCTCTTCTGCTTGGGGAGCTCTTCCTTATAGATTTAGTGTCCATTCCATTTGGTGTAATAAATAGCTGTAGAACGGATGAGTGATGAATTGATACATACATGGAAAGATGAGATTGAGTGCCAGAGAATACCAGTCAGAAAAGACTCAAAATGTACGGTACAGAGGAAAGTGTAGTGGTGCTCTGACCCCTCTAAGTGTCCTGAGATTCTCATACGACTGGGTCCTTTTCACAACTCAGATCCACTTGATATTAAGCAGCCCCCTACTTTGTCCACCGTGTGGGCAAAGGTTTCTCCTCTCCCACGGCCCATCGCTGGTCAACTTCAAGATTCGAACAATGTCTAACATCCTGGCTTTCAGTCTCTGAGGCCAAGAAAAAGGCCTCTTTGGTAATAACAGATGCCTGCAAAGTGTATCTAGATTCTACTTTTTTTTCCCAGGGTGATGTTGACACATATGTGCTGAAATAAATCAGCCTCCCATCTTAACCATCTCCCTTGGCAGGAACGCAAAGTTGTTGTGCCAAGACAGGGCTGACCAGTATGACTCAACCCTTGAAATATAAAGGAAATCATTGTGTTTTCACCCTAGCAGGTATTGAGACGCAGCCAGCTCATCAATTTCTAGCTCTTTTCCCCCATGGCCATAACCACCAAGCTGCTCGTGGTAATCTGTGTAAGGTGCACGTACAGGGGTGGACTCGAGCCTCTTCCAGATGCTACCTTGTCACCATATCCTCCCCTCCTTTGGTTGCGAATGACAGAACCCAAATCACATTGGCTTATGTTTAAAAGCAAAAGTATTGACACTAGTAGAAAAAAAACTAAGCATAGTTGGACCCTGAAGGTAAATAGCGTTAACAAGAGTCTTGGTGTCCAGCTCTTCCTTCTCCTGACA